AGGCCTTATACCCGTATTCATAGTCAGGTCTTATATTTAAGGCTTCCTTAAATTTATCTTCAGATACTCTACGAATTATTTCATTGACTACTGAGCATCTAAAGATAAATTTAAGGAAGCCTTAAGTACAAGGTCTGATTATGAATACGGGCATAAGTCTTTCTTCCTGGAATTAACCATGTGTGTCTTTCAACAAGTGACAGAAATGACACGGTGTAACACAATAGATGCATCCAGAAGCACGATCGCTCACTGAGCACTCTCAGTGAGCTTTTGTACCTGTTTGGTCTATATTTATAGTTTTAACGGAATATGCCAATCAGATGGATCATTACATCCTTGTTGTTTACCAATGTTAAACAAAGATGACATGATCATTGTGTCGCACTGTGTCGCTTGTTGGAAGGCACACCATGAGTTGCGAAACTGGACCTTATGAATTCTAGAATTGGAAAGAGATGAAAAATAAGTTCAACTTCGGTTAAAAGTTAATCGTGAGTTCTGAAGCTGGGCCTAAGCTCAAGACCGTGAACTTTAGTTTTTTACCTGTTGGGTAAGTAGCAAGATTACTCAATTACATACACGATTACCAGATTTACCTAATAGGTAAAATTTACCAAAAGGTGGAACAAAACCGGCTCTAAGTCTCGTAAATCCACAAAGTGAGGTTATGACTGTGTCGACATGTGACTTTTTACCAAAGTAAGAAAGTAGTGACGTTATTAATCTAACAATGAGTATAAAATATTCAGCTCACTTCAGACTCAGTTTGTGAGTCTCACGTTTGAAAGTTTCACTTTTGTGTAAATGGAAAGTAACTATTATTGTGGATGTACATACGAATTCACTTGGAGCTCACGATACTCGCATTATTTGTCGCATATTTAACATTTAATAAACAAAGACGAAATGATTCCATGAGCGTTGCAAGCGTCAAATACAACAACGCATCTTGTAATAAGTAAAAATATAGGACACCCACCGTGAACAATTAGTAGGCGAGAAGGGACGCTCTTCGGTTCTTTCTCTTTTCATCCTGGCGTCTCTTCTTCGACAGAATGGCATATTCTGTCCTTCGCGAATCCTTCCGACAAATAGCGATTCGTTGAAACGCGGAAATTCCGTATGGATCGATTAACAACGAAACGATCGCAGATTCCGTCAATCCGAGACTCCCAACTCTATACTGCGATACGTTGCTATACGCACAACGTGAAAAATCAAAAAGTTAGGTATCATGATGACAGAATAATTGCGATACTGGGTCACAAGCATGTCAAAAAGCATATTCGCCGATCGCGATCGCGCGAATCGATGGACTTTTATATTTTTTTATTTTTTTAGGGATTTTCAAATTTTTTTCTTTTTTTGGGATGGGAAGGGGGGATTTACAATATGCAAACCGAAAAAAAGGCCACTCCTATTAGTCGTAAACTTAATAAAACAAAAACCCAAAAGAAGCATAAGTAAATGTTTACGTTACAAACCGAGCAAATGAAACACGGTAAATGACCTGTCGTAGAAACGCGTCGAAAGAAGTGCAACATTTCAAGCTTTTTGTATTTTACTGTGTGATACGAAAATGTTCTTCATTGACATTTTCTAAAAGTCGTTTGAATATAGCCATTCTGTCGGCGTCTAAGACGCCGTCTGCGATTTGGCACGCTCTGACGAAACATCGTAGACGTTGCACGTGCAGAGAATATCTCGGATCTCATTATGAACAGACCACGCCAAAATGTCGGTCTCTTTATATCGCCATACGTCAGTGTATAATTTATTATCGCCTTGTCTTGTTGTCTGAACCAAATGATGAGCCAGGTCTCGACGTCGTCGTCCGCTCTTCCGTCCTGGAACGGTTCGCCGACGTCGTTTGTGAGGCCGGTCTGGCAGACGTTTCTCCTTTTGCTAATTCTACAATGAGTCGGTAGTTGGTAGTCCTAAGTCTTATCAGTGAAGTTGACCAATAGCCCAACTTATGCAACCGACGTTGATTGGTCAACTTTTCATCGATTGAGACTAATGCCCAATTTCTTCACTTCCAGAAAGTTGCGGATAATCTTATCCAGGGAGCTATCTCCATGTATTCTAGGAAATATCTCTAAGATAAAGTTATCTACAGATGAAGAAATTGGGCAATAAGACTTAAATTCCGATTACAGACTCATTGTAGAATCAGCATTAGATCGGACTGCGAGGTCGATGGTTGGTCCGAATTCTTGAGGGGGGAGGGGGGGGGGAGATCCTGGCGGACGTTTCTCCTTAGATTGGGCTGCGTCGAAGGTCGATGGTTGATCCGGATTCTTACGGGGCCAGCCTGGCCGGCGTCTTCCGGCGTTTCACTGGCGTTACCACCCGTTCCGAAATTATTCTCGCCACGCCGATCACGCGTGATACGTTCTCCACAAGTCGCTCCATCGTAGGCGACATTGAAAACACACGTATATATTCTGTGAGACACACGCAGGTCGACGACGTCGGTATCCTGGACGAGATTCGAAAACGCGAAACGATACGAAATTCTATCGCAGCACCCCGATCGCTCGATTGTCGCGAATTGTGAGGGGCTGCGCACAATGGAAGAAATAGGAAACAAGGAACAGAGAATAAGAATTTCAAGAATCAGAAACTGTGTATTCCACAATACATGATTTCTGATAGACTGAAATTCTTATTCTCTGTTCCTTGTCCCTATTGCTTTCATTATGCGCAGCTCTTGATCGGCATTTGCGAGGGCCCCAAGACATATTACGCGCATTCCATTATGCGCGAAAAAAGATATTTTCCTCGCGAGATCAAGATGGTTGCGTTCAGCGGACTCAATAGTTGAGTGAGCGCTCACTGCTATTAATGTATTCTTCCAGATCTAAAATGCTGATTCTAAAAGAATACACCAATAACAACGAGTGCTCACTCAACTGTTGAGTCCGTTGAACGCAGTCAAAACAGTACAGTACTGATCGTTAACATAAAGCAGGGAGCACAGATTCTTGCATAACACATGAGGCATAAGAAATTGAACCAATCAGAGTTCTTTATTTCATAGAAGGGAAGGAAATGAAGAACTTCGATTGATACATTTTCTTATGCATTACGTATTATGCGTTATGCAAGAGTCTGTACTCCCCGCTTAAATCGTGTTCAGCAGATTCAACTATTGCGGAGCAAATCCGTGAGCACTCGCTGCTATTGATGTATTCTTTTAGATCATTCAATGGCTGTGTTCAGCAGAAAAAGCAGCTTTGCAACTGTTGTAAAATTCTTTAATATGATTGGTCTTGCCTTTTGTTCTTCACTGGATCTAAATGTATAAACCAATCATGTCTAAGAATTTTACAACGGTTACAAAGCTGCTTTTTCTGCTGAACACAGCCAATGACGGAGAGCACTCATGGATCCGCTCCGCAACAGTTGAATCTGTTGAACGCGATAACCATAATTATTAACGACACTGATATTGATGACATAAGTGAATTGTGATGTACAGTACCTCACTCGACAGTTTAACAATTTGCAATGCGAGAAAAACAATGCCAAAATAAAAACGTAAAATTTTATGATTTGACTAACTTCACGTTTCTCTTGCGGCGCGGGCGCGTGAAATTCATTTTAATTAGAGATTTATAACAAAGTCTGAGTTTAATACAGTGTATCTTGAAAT